AAAAAAAAAAAAAAAAAAAAAAAGTGGCTTGAAATAGCTCCCCTCGGGAGCCTTCAGAGGAGGATCATCCTTCCAACACCTTGATCTCACCCTCCTAACCTCCAGAACTGTGAGAAAGTAAATTCTGTTGTTTAAGCCACCGTGTCTGTGGTACTTTGTTACCACAGCTCTAGGAAATCAATACAATATATTACCTGGGAAGAACCAATACCCAGGACAGTAGTGTTCGGAGACTTAAAGAAACTGGATCCTGATGACACTGAGTCCCTGATCAAGCCATACCAATAAGGTGATATCTGTTTTGCATTACAGAAACTAGTAAATTATTATTATTATTTTAAATCTTAAGACAGTTTGGTTTTGTTAGCTGCAATTACATTAATCCTAACTGATATGCATACTGATAGAAAAAAAATCTGGATAATACATACTATTATCCAGATTTGTTATGTTAAATACCAAAGAAAATGTTGTTCTACCATATTGCAAAGACAAACTTCAATTACTTAGAAGGGGCCCTTGAGTAACTTATAGTTTTTTCTGAGTAACTCGTAATTGAATAACCAGAGCTATTCTTATATTTAGCTCATCACTTCTTGCTGGCCAGCCTGAAACATGAGCAATCGTTTTTATTCCCAAGTTGTGTGTTTTACTGCTTTCTACTATAGAAACTATACTCATTTCCTTCTTTAGACTTCACAGAAATGAGGCATAGATAAATCTAATCATTACTACAATGTGTTTTATTATAAGATACTCATATTACTAAAAATCTTACCCATGAAACTTTTTCAGCAACAGATAGGTATTACCCTGCCCTGTATGCATAAGAAGTCGGTCTTCCTTTTTACAAATTGATTTAATTATTACAAGAGGACTGCTTTCAACAGTAAGAGCCATGCTTAGAGCAGAATGAGACCCAAATTCTTTTTACTCCACAGAGGTACTTGCTAGTAAGAATTTGGGGGATACTTCTACCACAACCAGTTTCTTCTCCTCTGAAACCACAAAGCCCCAGCTAAGAGTCAGGGAGACAAAAAACACATCCTATTTCTTACCTTTGACATACTCTAAGATTCTATTTCAAGCTCTGTTGTGTTCTCACAAGTTGGAAGTGACCAGAATAGGAATAACCACATACCACAGAGTTAGACCCGGGACTTCTGTCATTTTATTTCATACAGAACAGTCTTAACTGTCATTCAGCCTCTTAGAGATGAAATTAAGACAATAGATTTTGTTATTAAGACAGTTCTTTGTAACTAAATAGGAACAGAACCGTCTCTGCTACAAATTCTGGCTCTGAGCCTCCAGCCTAATAAAAAACATACTTTGGATGAGAATCAAGTTCATTATTTTATGTTACCACAGTCATCTGGTTCGGCTAATCTTATGGCTGCTATCGCTGGACGGACAGTAAATAAATTTAATAATTATGGTCAGGCTTCAACTTTAAATACAGGTAACACTGTGTTTTTGCTACAATTTAAGGATTATCAAATAGATTCCTTTACTTTGAAAGATATTCTTTGATGGCCTTGACTGAAATTCTTCATTCCTCACGTTAAGAAAGGCAGGTGCTAAAATGTAAATGTTATCTTGGAAGCATAATACAGTAATGTAATCACCATTTACTGTACTAGTATTTCTAACTGTCTCCTACCATGGATCAGGTTAAAGTTTAATAATGAGAGGAGCTAGTCAGTCACTTAGTGGACTCCTGAGAAACTGGGATACAGGGCACCGAGTCAGGGCTCATCCAGAACATGGTGCGCCATCCAGAAGAGAAGGACTCAGCAGGTGAGTCGTGGCGTGTGAGCCTGGACACCCAGCAGGTAGTTTTACTTGTTGCCCTATGATAGGATGTAGGGAAGTGGGCACTGAGAGATGGACGGAGAGAAGGTAATTAGCACTCAGCCCTGTGTGAGGAAACAATTTTTAATGCAAGGTAACACTAAAACTAAGTTTTTCTAATTTCTGCTGGTTCCTGTAATGAGTGACATTTGCTTTAGCCATTAAGGTAGACAGTGATGGGGTTAACTGCCATCCTTCCAACTGGACAACCCCAGTCAGATAAGCAACTGCATGTGTTTGTATGTGTGACCAGATCATATAGCAGGTGTGTACCTCTAACAGTTCAGTCATAGAACCATCATATCTGGAAAACTCTTTCTGCTTTGACAGTCCTCTGTCCATCTCACCTCTTGTACAAATGAGCACGTACAGGGCTTTGGAATAAAGAATCCTCATGAGGAGAAACTATTCCTTGTTTTCACCAAGTCCCTGACCATCTAGGCACAGTGCCTTGCGTTCAGGGCATACGTGAGTGTGCGTGCTCAGATGGGGGAAGGGAGGGAAAACAAGCAGTAAAATCATCTCTCTCCTTTGCAACCTCCCAGCCTCACTCCCACTTCAGCAGTGACGTGGGGAAGAGTCACTTCCCGTTCTGTTAAAAATCAAAGGAAAACTGTTGGGAGAGAAAAGTGGCATCAGTGAGTGGAGTTGCAACTAATTTCATTTGGGATTTCTCTTGCTTTGGGGGATTGGCTGAAGGTTTGTTTCCTTTTGCACAAGGTAAGGGAGTTGATTAAATGTAATGACTCAAAACAGGGTACACGTGCTACACGGACTAGTATTCTAAATTAGAGTTCATTCTCTGTTATCTGGAATACAGAAAACTGGGAAACAATAGTACACTGGCATAAAAGGAAAGGTCACTGTCATCCTTCTCGTCCTCTATGTTGCTGCACACTGGACCCAGTGCAGCCCCTCTTTCGTGGCTGGCAGGTGTGCCCTATGCAAATGCAGTTTTCTAGCCTATGACCTCTTCTTTCATAATCAGAGCAACCCTGGGAAGTATCATACTCATGATTACTGTTGATTTGGAGAGAAAGATAATGAAGCAAAAGCCAACTGTTGTGGTAAATCTTTCTCTGCTTTTCTTGTTAAACATTTATCTCTCATCTCTAACCAGCTGAGCATGTCTATACTGTCATTAACAGTATTTTAAAAAGCAGTTTAAACAATTCCTTAAAGGATTGATTATGCCAGTGACAATGGAATATAAAACACTGGAAATCAAAGTTTTCCTCAAATTTGGAAATTAGTCTGCATAGTGCAGAAGCCTCCAATTGGTTTCATTTCTGTTCCAGTTTGAAATAGGTAATATCTACCACCTATTTATTATAATATGAAGGGAATTTGAATAGCAATCCTTTTTATCAGGGATACTAGAATATATTAAATCTAATCAAACAAAATAATGCATTTATATTTCACAGTTTATTTTGCTAAAAGCATTATGATCGAGAAATGAATAATTCAAAAACTCCCTAAGTAACAAATCCTTTTTCATATCACATATTTCACCAATGTTAGATTTTTTTTTTTTTTTT